AGCACCTCGCCCAGCCCTGCCTCCGCACCCAGCAAGGCCATCCACCCACCTGCACTCTCCTCTTTGGCCTCCGGGGTGGCCGCACAGCCCCGCTGTCTTAAGTGCCACTCTGGTGTCTTCACTCCTCAGTCTTCACCGACCTCCTCTCCCTCAGTTCTTCCTGCTTAACTCCTGTCCCAGCCTTGCCTGCACCCCCCACAGCGTGCACACACACGTACGCACGTGTGTGGTGCACACAGCACCCTCGAGCGGTGGGAGCCGCCCCATCACCGCCCGCTCCCCTCTCGGCTTCTTTCCCCAGCTTTTCCTTTCGGGATACTCGCCGAAAGCTTTAGCAGAGGAGTGGTCCCAGGTGGGTGTTTCAGGAAGGTCACTCTGGGCTGAAGCCTCTTGGGAAGACCGTTTGGAAGCACGAGTTAGAATACACGCTCTTCAACCCGGCAGGTCCCACTTGTAATAAATCCTCTGTCCTTTGAGACCACTTACGCTTGCAGACTAAAGGCGCGGCTCCTGTGCCACTGGTTGGGGCCGTGGCAAAACTGGAAGCAACCGGAAGTCCTTTGAAGGGGAGTGGCGAGAGAGCTCCCGGTGCCGCTGTCCTGGGGACACTTTGTGGCTTCGACCAAGACGGACCCTGGAGAACGACACATGGCAGTTTGAATATACGTGTGTGAATAAGAACTGGAAGCACTTCAGACTTCCCAGTGGCCCTTCTGGCAAGCGCAGGCGTGGGAGACAGGGGGCTCCATGTTGTGTTCTGAGGGCTTCTGTATGGTCTGCGATGTGGCCAGTGTGGTCCAATGCTGAGGGAACGGGCTGCGGTGCCAGCCGGCGGCAAGGACGGAGCTGGGACTGTAGGAACGTGGTGGGCGTCCCCGTGCGCGTGCGAGCGGGACACTGGGGTCTTCTCTTTCTGCCAGGGGGACGTGTGGCCCCCGAAGGACAAGGAAACCAGCTCGTATGTGGCTGATCTCCAAAGAAACTTCGGAGAGGGCTCCTCGGGAGGCCAGCACGAGGCAACTAAGGTGCCTCCCAGGTGGCACCGGCCTCGTCCGGCCGCGTCACGCAGTTGGCGCTCGGGAAACCACTCTTTCCCTCACGTGGGTTTGGCGGTTTAGGCTCCTCTGTAAGTTCTGGTGCAGACAATAGACGTAATTACGCCCCGCGGTCAAGGCACGCCACCACCGGCCCGTGCAGGGCGCCCCCCTGTTTCCTCTCCGTCGTCCCCGTGTCCTCTCGCGCGCAGACAGCCGGGTTGACGGGGCACGTGTGCGGCTTGGTCTTTGCGTTCTCGCGAGAGGTGTGCGTCGGACGGCGTTACGAAGTCATCCTCCCCGCGGCCCGGCGGGCAGTGTGGTGGCAGGGTAATGACGGGACCCTCGCGGCCTGGCTTCCGTTCATTCCTGCCGCGGCTCTGGGAGGTGAACTCGCCAAGGAAGGAGGAAAGTGGCTTAGGGAGGTTCCGAAACTAACCGGGATCGGCCCGCCTCTTCCACGGGGCTCCCTCCGCACAGCCCCAGCTCGGGGAGCCTTGCTCTCCCCGCTCCAGCCCTGCCAGCACCCGCGGCCCTGGGCGTCGTCGTCATCGGAGAGAAGGTGGCCGAGGCCCAGGGGAGGAACCGCTTGCCCCAGGCCGTGCGGCCGGAGCCGGGCGAGGACCTGGTTCCAACTTTCCACCGGGTTGTCAAGAACCTCTCCCGCTCTGTCTCCACCCAGGGCCGGTGCCGTCCTCAGAAGGAGGGCTTGAGTTCTTTCCCCTCTCAAGCCAAGCCCGAAGGAAGGCCCCGGCTGACTTCTGCCGAGCAAACCAGGCGATAGGTGGCGACATAACCCGCCGCATGCTTCCCCAAGCGAGCCAGGCGGCCCCAGAGAAACTGTGGCCCACCTCAGCCACAGCGAGTGGCCTGCGCGGCCCCCCTTTATGGGAGATGGTGACCTGTTGAGACGGGCACCCGGCCCCTCTCTGCCCACGTCATCAGCACGGTCGCTCAGTAAAGACTGGCCTGTGCCCGGTGCTGGGACCAGGCTCCGAGAGTCCGGCCACTGCTCTCAACAAGGAAAAGGCAGCAGGCATCGCCGGCGCTGAGCGCCAAGGCCGGGGAGGCCAGAATGGGGCGGTGGTGGGGAGCTCCAGGGAGAGAGGAGGCAGGAACACAGCCTGCCCTCGGGTTTGAGGAGAGTGGGCAGACCAGACCCCGGGGAAGGCTGTGTGACCGGCCGAGTGACCCAGACCCTCCTGTAGGCCACAGGGAGCCCAAGGCGCTCTTTTCCCGGGGAAAACCTGCCACGCGCCTCAGTCTCTCACCCCCAAGGGGCCAGGCTGGCTGCAGAGAGAGACCTTGCTCTCCTTCGACTTGCTCACCTGGTTAAGAGGCTTACCTTGACCTCTCTAATGTCTGGTCAACTCAGTCATGTAATGATACAACGATGTGAGCAGTCTGATTTAACCCAGAGTATCGGTTAAGCACAAAATGCCCGTGTGCTTGTGTCTGTGTGCGTGAGTGCATGTTTGCACACGTGCACTCATGTGTTTGGCTTTGGAGGCAGACATTCTAGAAAAAGAAATGGCAGCAGATAATACAATAGGACATAAATGTTGTAATAAATCAAAAAAATGTTTTTCTTATAAACCCAATACTCTTAATTCCATTCAAACCAAAAAGCACAGCTGTGGGTAGGGAGGGAGTTCACCCAGACCCCAATTTCCCCGTCCTTCTCCCTCCCGCTGACCTTCCCCCCCCTTCCCCCCGCCCTGCCACCACACCCCTGCACTGCTCGCATCAAGGTGGAGACACCCTGAAACATTCACACGCAGAAAGGGACAGGACTTGGGGGTGAGTGTGGAGAAATCCCGGGACACAACAGCACCCAGGCCACAGAATGCAGACAAATGGCTACTTAAGAAAATAGGGGTTCCAGAAAAGGGGCCACGTGACCCCAGAGGGAGCCCCAGACTTATTCCTGCCAAGTGACCAGACATCTATGTAGCAACCCTTTGGGGCCTGTGCCAGGAAGGTGTTCACTCAGCGGTGGGTTCTCCTTATACCCTAGCAGAATCTGAATCCAAATTCCTTCTGGGAAACCTCGTGTTGGTTTCTAAGAACCTTTTTTTTTTTTTTTTTTTGAGATTTTTATTTATTTTGGAGGGAGCAACTTACGAGCAGGGGGAGGTCAGAGAAGCTCACCAAACAGGCTCCAGCTGACAAAGTGGAGCAGCTTAGGCCCTTAGCCAGAACCTGCACGGGGAGGTAGAGTAGCCTGGGTGGGTTCAGTCGATTCAGCGGCCAACTCTGGGTTTGGGGCTCATGTGTGTGATCTCTGTCTGTGAGTTGTTGAGGTCCTGTCTTGAGCTCCGTTGCCCGGCGCATTTGAGCCTGCTTGGGATCACCATACTTCCTCTCTCTCCGCCCCTTCCCCGTTCATGCTCGCTCACTCTCTCAACAAATAAACTTAATGTTGCTTTTTAAAAGAAAAGAGCCTCTTGCAGTGAAGATGACAGAGGTGGAGACAATGAGAGACTGGCGGCATCATTGTCTGACCTTGAAGAATGGGCTTCCCAAACTCGTTGGCGTGTTTGCTGGGATTGTGACTTGTGTTGGCAGGACCCTACGCAGCTCCCCTGAACCCCCCCCACACACACACACACAAGCATTGCCTCAACACCAGCAACTGAAGGAGAGGTAAAATCATTTCCTCAATTGCTTGCTGCTCACTGTCCCCCCTGTTCCCTGAGCCAGACTCCCGGGGTCCTTGCTGTTCTCCTCCTTCCACGCTCAATACTCTCACCCCATTGTCTGATATATATAAGGTTTTGCAGGGGTTCTACCTTGTAATGTGTCCCCTTGACATGGCCCCCAAACTCTTCATCTCTGCTGCTTTGGCGGATCTTTGACCTAACCATGATGTCCCTCCCATCCCGGCCTCCGGGTCAGTCTGGATATGTATCCTGTCTATCTGCACCTGCTGGCTCTGACTCACTTATGCCCGACCCAAATCAGCTTCATTGGCTTTCTATTACAGTGACGCCTCGATAGAGTTCGAGCTCTCCTGATTTTACGGAAGTACCCAACCACACCATCAACCACTATGTTAGCAGAAGATACACATACCTTCCACCAGCCACACTGGTGCTTGTGGGACCCTTACAGCTCACACCATTCTGCATCTCTTGTTACTGCTCTAACGGACTCCTTCCTTTCTGAACTCAGTTTAAAATGGTCTCTGGTCAAAGTCTGTGGTGGGACAGAGTGAAGACACCACGTGTCACTTTGGTGCATTGCATTCGGCGGTCCCAATAGCGTGATGGCAAAGAGAATACCTTCTACATTGCGAGTGAACTCTATCCCCCAGTCATCAAACAATCACAGAACTTTCTTTCTTTGATATTAAGATATTTCTCATGTTTTTAAAAATCGTTTATTTTGGGGGCACCTGGGTGGCTCAGTGGTTGGTAGTCAACGGCGGCTCAGGTCATGATCTCCGCGACGAGTTCGAGGCGAATCGAACTCCGCACGCACTGACAGCTCAGAGCCTGTAGCCTGCTTCAGATTCTGTGCCTCCTACCTAGAAACAACTTTGCCCCTCCCCATTCGTACTCTGTCTCTTCGCTTTCAAAAATAAATATTAAAAAAAAATTTTTGAAGCCTGGGTGGTATACAGTCGTTATCGACTTCAGCCAGTCCGCGATCTCGCGGTCCGTGAGTTCCGTAGCGTCGAGCTCTGGGCTGATGGCTCAGAGGCTTGACTGCAGAGCCTCTGTTCAGCATTCTGTGTCTCCCTCTCTCTGCCCCTCCCCGTTCATGCTCTGTCTCTCTCTGTCCCAAAAATAAATAAAAAATGTTGAAAAAAAAATTTTTTTTTTTTAAATTTTTTTTGATAAAATCATTTAAATTCCTTTATGCAAAACCACGCATATAAGGTAGTTAAAAATGCATGCATAAACCTAGAGAGAGGGAAGAAAACTTCTCTTAAGCCCCATCTCCTCCAGGCAGCCTTCCCTGATCACTCTGACATAGCTACCTCTGAGACGCTCAGTCCTAGGTCCGCATCACACCACAGTCCTCAGATGGTCTGGCCCGACCTCCCCAAGAGTGAGAGCTTCTTGAGGGCAGGGACAATGTTTCACCTGACTTTGGTTGTCCGTTCTTCAGCACAGTCTGACAGGATCCCCAGTTTGTCCAAGGCGTACACAGATCTCATTATGAACACTTCATGGACAAGTCAGATAATGTGGAATAGGTGGCTTGGAATGAGGTCCGCAGCTGGTTTCCTGTGGGAAAAAACCTGGTTCAAGGACCCTTGATGAAAAAGAAAAGACAAACCCTTTTTGTCTGTGACTGACTGGGAGCTCATTGGGGGCAGAGGGTGGGGCACGGTGACTGCTAAAAGGGCAGGACAGATGCTGATGGGTCAGGCTTGGGAACAGCACCCATACAGCAGGAGGGGGCCCGTCGTTTGAGCTGACTCACACCCCAGCCAGGGACCCCAGGCAGGTCTGCAGGCTGCAGATTGGAGGACAGTCACCAGCCCAGAGAAGGGCCAAGGGCACAAGGGCACGTGGACGAAGTCCTGCTCTGTGCCTGGCTTCTCCACCTTCTTGAACGACTACCTCCCTCCATGCTGTTTGTTGAGAGTCAAATCCGATGGCATCCCTGGGTGTCATGGAGAGCCCTTGGGGCCACAGCAGGCAGCAACGAGGTGGCTGGAAATGCAGTAAGGGTGTTGAACTTTGATTGTGAATAGTTGTCAAAAACGTGGCATTGGCTGGGAAGGTCGGAGACCACAGCATTGGCTGAAGTCCTGACCATTCAGTCCCCGCCCCACAGATGAAGCGACTCCCCAGAGCAGGGGCCTCTCCCTTGGGCACCATCACCCGTGTTCCTTTGCAAGCGCTGTGCACCTCTACCCCCACGACGTCCTCCCCGCTCGGTGACAGTGATGCAGACGCCCAGGCAGGCCGACCCCTGTATGGCCGCAGCCGATAGCTACCAGCCATCAATAGCACAGTGTCCCCGGCACACAAAGAGCCTCACTCAGGCTCCAAGGAATGGATGTGAAAATCACCAAAGTGCCTTTCCAACCTCAGGATTACTCAGCAGCCTCTCGTGCGTCACTGGTTCCTTTTCTGATTCCATGAGGAGGCCCTTCCCAACCTCACCATGATTCCCAGACCCCCTCCTTCCCTTCCAAGCACCCCCACTCTGCTCTCTGGCCCCAGAGACCTGGCCTCCTCCTCCACAGAGACAGTAAAGGCCATCAGGCACAAAATAAGGCCCCCTTCTCTCCTCACCCCTACCTCTTCTGTATCTTTGCCCATCCTGCCCCCTCCCCTGTGTCCTGGGGGATAGAAGGGTGCTGCCCCTTGCCCGTCTGTGGTCCGTGTGATTGATCCTGGCCTCATGCGGATCATCCGCCATCCTCTGTGCTCCTCCTATGCTTCTTCCCTCCTGCCTCTGCACATGGCCCCGCCTCTGATTCCTACCAGAACATTCCTTCAGTGTCGCCCCTCTTTTCAGCCACAGCCAGACTGCTTTTATTTTATTCTATCCATTCACCTCTTGAAACTCATCCATGCAGCCAACTGTTGCCCCTCATCCCATCCCCAGTCCCTTCTCCTGCTCAGGCAGGGGAGTTCACAATTTTTACAGGAGAATCTCTTTGTATATTCTTTCTCCTTTGTT